GCCATCACAAATCCCAAATCCATTCCCTGTGTCCTGGAATTCCATCCCAAATCCATTCCCTGTGCCCTGGGATTCCCATCCCAAATCCATTCCCTGTGCCCTGGGACTCCCATCCCAAATCCATTCCCTGGGTCCTGGAATTCCCAAATCCATTTCTATGTCCTGGAATTCCATCCCAAATCCATTCCCTGGGTCCTGGAATTCCATCCCAAATCCATTCCCTGTGACCTGGGATTCCATCCCAAATCCCAAATCCTCTCCAGCTCCTTTGGAACTCCTTGCACCTCTGGAAGCAGCTCCAAGTTTTCCTTGGATCCTTCCCTGCTTGGCCATCCCAGGGATCCAGGGGCAGCCCCAGCTTCCCTGGGAATCCCATCCCATCCCCTCCCACCCTCCCAGGGAAGAATTTTGCCCCCATTCCTGGCAGGCTGGGTCCTGGAGAATTCAGAATTCCTTTCCAGAGGATTTTTCCTTCCTGGAGCAGAGGCCTGGATTCCTGCTGGGGCAATTCCTGCTGGGATAAATCCTGGGGCAATTCCTGCTGGGATAAATCCTGGGGCAATTCCTGCTGGGATAAATCCTGGGGCAATCCCTGCTGGGATAAATCTTGGCAATTCCTGCTGGGGCAGTTCCTGCTGGGACAATTCCTGGAGCAGATTCCTGCCCCTGGGTTCCTGCTGGGACTGTCCCTGTCCCTGTCCCTGCCACTCTCCCTCGTTGGGATCAGCAGCTCCTGCCCTGAGCCAGAGCCTAAAAATATCCCTAAAAATATCCCTGGGAATACCCGGGGTGAGCTGAGAGATTCCTGGGCTGGGATTTGTGCCCCCCGTGTGAGCAGTGTGAGTGCAACACGCTGCTGCTGCCGAGGGCTCATCCTCTGCCATCCTTTTACACCCAAAATCCCCCTTTTGTCACCCCAAAATCCCCCTTTTGCACCCAAAATCCTCCTTTTTCTGTCCCATTTCCTCCTCAATCCCCTCAAATCCCCCAAATTTCATCCCAAATCTCCTCAAATCCCCCAGATCTCACCCCCCAACCCCCCAATCTCACCCCAAGCCCCCCACAACTCCCCAAGCCCCCCAGATCTCACCCCAAAACCCCCAAATCTCACCCCAAATCCCCTTTTTGCGTGTCCTTTTTCGGGTTTATTTCACCCACAGAGAGGCGCCCAGGCTCTCTGTAACTCTTTGTTTTTATTGTCTCCTATTGTCCTAATCCTAACTGCCCAAATCTTTATTCCTCTAATTACATTACTAATTCCATTCTATTATTACTTTTAACAGTAATAAATGTAATAACCATTTGATTACTTTTTAAACTTTTAGAAAGGAGGGATGGGTGTTTTTCACACTGGGGGTGTGAACAAACTGTGCTGCCCAGTGTAACCAGAGCATTTCTGCACTAAAAATAACCTGAGCAAGGCAGCAGCTGATCCCTGCAGGGTCAGCTCACCCCTCTCTTCATTAATGGCATTATTATTTAATGACAAGAATTAATTACGATTAAATTGTCATTTAATACTATTAAAATTCTGGAAAAGAAATTTTAAAAGGAATAAATTTAAGAAAAGAAAATTTAAATTAAATTTAAATTTAAATGAATTAATATTAAATTGGAATTTAATACCACTAAATAGAATTAAATTGACATTTAATACCATTAAATACAATTAAATTGTCATTTGGTGCTGAGCCTCATCCTGGGTAACTCCCAAACAAAAAAATCCTTGTGGCTTTGCCTCCATCAGGAATTATTCTGATAGAGATCACCCAGGTTTTTTCCTTTCTTTTTCTCCTTTTTTTTTCTTTTTTTTTTATTTTTTCCTTTTTCCCCCCTTTTTCCCCCCTTTTTTCCCCCTTTTTTTCCCCCTTTTTTTCCCCCTTTTTTTCCCCCTTTTTTTTTTTTTTTTTTTTTTTTTTTTTTTGTGTGTGTGTGTGTGTATGTCCCCCTTTCCCCCACTTTTTTCCCCTTTTTTCCCCCCTTTTTTCCCCTTTTTATTCCTTTTCTCCTCTTTCTCTTGGCTCTGCAGCACCTCTGAGAGGGTGGAAATCAAAGTCCAGGGAGGGCAATTCTGCCCTGGACGAGGAGGAGGAGTGTGAAAAACGCCAATCATTTCTAAAATTTTAAAAATTTAACAGTAATAAAATGGTCATAAAAATAGCAATATAATCAGAGAAATAAAGATTTGAACAGTTGAGGTTGGGACAATATGAGACAATAAAAACAAAGTTTTGGACAGGCTGGGTTCCTCTTTGTGGGCAAAATAAACCCAAAAAGGAGCCACGGAAACAGAGGATTAACCCTTAAAAGCCACAGCCTGTTCATTCATCCAGCTCATCCATGATGCATAAATTCCATTAAAACACAGAATCAAACCCAAAAAGGAGCCACGTAAACAGAGGATTGATTAACCCTTAAAAGCCACAGCCTGTTGCATATTCATCCAGCTCATCCATGATGCATAAATTCCATTAAAACACAAAATTCTGCTCAGTGTCAGCTTCTTCCTCTGAATCCTGAACTTTCAGAGCTGAAGAAGTTGCTTTCCTCTGATAAAGGAGCAAGAAATTCTTTTTCTCTGAAGGATTTGGGTGTCCTGGGGCTGCTGTCTCAGTGCCTCGTTCCTCTCCTTAAAAAATACCCCACACACAGAGTTCCTATTTGAACTACAAAACTCACATTTTAACTACAAAACTCACATTTTAACTACAAAACTCACATTTTAACTACAAAACCGCATTTGCCACACGATTAAAAATGTGATTACAGTGCTGCTATTCCCATTAAAATCCCATTGCCACCAAAATCCCATTTCCATTCCCATTAAAATCCCATTTCCACCAAAATCCCATTTCCATTCCCGCCAAAATCCCATTCCCGCCAAAATCCCATTCCCACCAAAATCCCATTGCCACCAAAATCCCATTTCCATTCCCATTAAAATCCCATTGCCACCAAAATCCCACTTCCATTCCCATTAACATCCCACTTCCACCCAAATCCCATTTCCATTCCCATTAAAATCCCATTTCCACCCAAATCCCATTTCCATTCCCATTAAAATCCCACTTCCACCAAAATCCCATTTCCACCAAAATCCCATTTCCATTAAAATCCTGTTCCCACCAAAATCCCATTCCCATTAAAATCCCATTCCCACCCAAATCCCATTCCCACCACAATCCCATTTCCTTGGGCTGGCAGCAGGGCCCAGTTTTGGGGCTGTTTTCCCCTTTTTCTGCTCAGCTCAGCCTTCTGTGCTCGGGGGGAAATCTCCAAAACGTTTTCCTTGCTCATCCCACTCTCCTGTGGGATTGATTTTCCCGTTATTAACGCTCTGGCTGGGCTGTGAATAATTAAAATCCTCGTTTGTGAGGCCTCTTCCTGTCTCCCTCAGCCAGGAGGAGGCTGGGATGGAGCTGCCAGGCACAAAAAGGGAATAATCCTGGGATTTTGGGAAAAAATACTGGGATTTTGGGAAAAAATACTGGGATTTTGGGAAAAAATACTGGGATTTTGGGAAAAAATACTGGGATTTTGGGAAAAAATACTGGGATTTTGGGAAAAAATACTGGGATTTTGGGAAAAAATACTGGGATTTTGGGAATTCTTGTGCTTTTGGGAATAATCCTGGGATTTTGGGAACGATCCTGCTTTGGGAATGATCCTGGGATTTTGGGAACAATTCTGCTTCTGGGACGACCTTTGCACAGCTGAAGGATTTCCCCGGAGCTCAGGCTCCAGCCCCGGCGTTCTCCTGGATTTCCAAGATCCCTCCTGCACGGAAGAGCCCCCGGAGCAGCGTTCCCTTGTTCATCCAGAAAAACCAGAGCGGGGTTTTGGGGCTTCCCTCCGTGTTTTTGGGACGGGCTCAGGCTGAGCAATCCCAAAATCCACCTCTGATTCGTGCGCTGCGAATAATTCAAATCCTCATTTGCGAGGCCTCGCCAGGCCCCGGCGCGTCCCTCGGCCAGGAGGGGCTGGCACGGAGCTGCTGCCGGGCACAAAAAAGCACAAAAAAGCACAAAACGCTGCTGCCAGACACAAAAATGAAGCTTTGTCACCTTCACAACGCAAGGTTTTCCCTTTTGGAAGCGTAAAAATAAGGAATTCATCAGGGCGAGGCCTGCACAGGGCCCAGCGGGGAGGCGTCGCCGCCGCCGCCGCTGTGAAACACGACCAAAAAAAGAAATAAAATCCTCTGGAAACGGCTGGAATTGGGAACAAAACCCTCTGGAATTGGGGCTCTGGAACAGCCAGGGAAGTTTTCTCCTGGCTGGGGGCAGGTTTGAGGGAAGTGCTGGTGATAAATGGGATTTCGTGAGCGAGGAAGGAGGGAAGGGCCTCCCGGAGCCTCCATCACAGCCTGGGCAAAGCTTTTTTTATTCCAAATACCGAGCACGGGGCTGAGCTGATCCAAAAGGATTTCCAGAAGATTCTGGCAAGCACAAGAGTGGCTCCAGGCCGGGGAGGGGACACTGGGAATGGCCTCGGGGACAGCCCCAAACCCCGCTGTGAAAATGGTTTTGTGTGGTTTTAGTGGCAGCTGGCAGTGGAATCAGCAAATGTTTGGATCTGCTGTGTGAAAATAGACACAGAGAAAGGTTTGGAGACTTTCTGATGGAAAATGGACACAGAGAAAGGTTTGGAGACTTTCTGATGGAAAATAGACATGAAGAAAGGTTTGGAGACTTTCTGATGGAAAATGGACACGAAGAAAGGTTTGGAGACTTTCTGATGGAAAATAGACATGAAGAAAGGTTTGGAGACTTTCTGATGGAAAATGGACACGAAGAAAGGTTTGGAGACTTTCTGATGGAAAATAGACATGAAGAAAGGTTTGGAGACTTTCTGATGGAAAATGGACACGAAGAAAGGTTTGGAGACTTTGTGACCATGTAGCCAAAGAGAGCATCAAAATAAAAGAAGGAAACTCTGAAACTTCTGGGGTAACTCCCAATTTTCTGGGATTAATCACAAATTTCGGGGGTAACTCCCAAATTTCTGAGATTAATCTTGAATTTCTGGGGTAACTCCCAAATTTCTAGGATTAATCCTGAATTTCTGAGGTAACTGTGAAATTTCTGGGGTAACTCCCAAACTTCTTGGATTAATCACAAATTTCAGGGGTAACTCCCAAACTTCTGAGATTAATACCAAATTTCTGGGGTAACTCCTGAATTTTTGGGGTAACTCCCAGGTTTCTGGGGTACTCCCAAACTTTTGGGATAACTCCCAAATTTCTGAGATTAATCCCAAATTTCCAGGTAACTCCTGAATTTCTGGGATGACTCCCAGGTTTCTGGGGTACTCCCAAACTTTTGGGACAACTCCCAAGTTTCTGAGATTAATCCTGAATTTCTGGGGTAACACCCACTTCAAAACTTCTGGGGTACTCCCAAACTTTTGGGATAACTCCCAAATTTCTGGGGTACTCCCAAACTTCTGAGATTAATCCCAAATTTCCGGGGTAACTCCTGAATTTCTGGGATGACTCCCAGGTTTCTGGGGTACTCCCAAACTTTTGGGATAACTCCCAAATTTCTGGGATCAATCCCGACTTTCCGGGTGACCCCACGCTCCCCCAGCCCCTCCGGGTCCCAGCGTGTCCCCAGCTCCTCCCGTTGTCCCTGTCCCACACAGCAGGACATCCCTGGGGGCTTCTTCCCGACACAAAAGGGACAAAAAGAAAGCACAAAGAGCCAGCTGCGATTTGCTCCATTTAATTTCAATTAACCTCAGCCCCCCGGGGCTGCAGCGATGCCAACCCAGCAGCTTGGTGGCCCTGAGGGATGTCCCTTGTCCCAAATTCCCCGTGCCCGGCCCCAAAACTCCCAGCAGTCCTTCAATCCTCTGCGTTCAGCTCATCCAGGCTGTGAAAGTGGAGAATTTCCTCTGGGGCCAGGGAAAAATTTTCCAGAATTTTCCTCCGTCTCTGCTCCCCTGGGATGCTCCAGGGGCTGGGAACACCCAGCGTGGAGGAAGAGGAAGAGGAGCAACTCCTGGCAGTGCCCAGCTCCTCCTGCCTCCCCAGCCAGGGGGGGCAGGCAGCTGATCTGCAAAAGGCAAGTGGTTTCCTAAAAAAACTACAGAAAAAAAAAAAAAAATCAATCCCCCCGCCCAAGGCTCAGCCCTTGCCCTTAGAAAATGTAAAAACCTCGGGGACACGGTGGCAGTCGGGTGGTGGCACGGGCACAGCTGGCACCTCTGGGCCAGGGCAGGGCCAGAGAGCTCTGCTGGGGGTGCAGGGGCTCCCCAGAGAGGATTTGGGGGAGCAGGGGCTCCCTGGAAGAGGATCTGGGGGTGCAGGGGCTCCCTGGAGAAGGTTCGGGTGCTCCCTGGAGAGATTTGGGAGCTCAGGTTCTCCCTGGAGACGTCTGGGGGCTTCCTGGAGAGGTTTGGGGGCTCCTTGGAGAAGGTTTGGGGGTTCAGGTGCTCCCTGGAGAGGTTTGGATGTGCAGGGCCTTCCTGGAGAGGATTCAGGTGCTCCTTGGAGAAAATCTGGGAGCTCTGGTGCTCCCTGGAGAGGATTTAGGGGCTCAGGATCTCCCTGGAAAAGGTTCAGGGGCTCCCTGAAGAGGTTTGGGGGTTCAGGTGCTCCCTGGAGAGATTTAGGGGCTCAGGTTCTCCCTGGAGAGGTTTGGGGGCTCCTTGGAGAAGGTTCAGGCTCTCCCTGGAGAGGATCTGGGGCTCAGGGGCTCTGTGCCCTGCTGGGCAGTGAGTGACCACTCTGGTGCCCACTCTGTCCAGGCAGCTGCTGGTGGGTGGCAAATCCTGCCTGGGCAGCACCGAGGCTGCTGGGTGCCCTCGGGAGCTCTGGGTGCCCTCGGGAGCTCTGGGTGCCCTCGGGAGCTCTGGGTGCCCACACAAGAGTTCCCAGTAAACACAGAAGGTCTTGGTGCCCACAGAAGGTCTCAGTGCCAACAGGATGTCATGGTGCCCACAGGATCTTTCAGTGTCCACAGGATCTTTGAGTGTCCACAGGAGCTCTCGGTGCCCTCGCCTCGGGAGCTCTGGGTGCCCTCGGGAGCTCTGGGTGCCCAAAGGAGTTCTGGGTGCCCTCGGGAGCTCTGGGTGCCCAAAGGAGCTCTCTTGGTGCCCACAAGAGTTCCCAGTAAACACAGAAGGTCTTGGTGCCCACAGAAGGTCTCAGTGCCAACAGGATGTCATGGTGCCCACAGGATCTTTCAGTGTCCACAGGATCTTTGAGTGTCCACAGGATCTCATGGTGCCCTCGGGATCTCTTGGTGGTGCCCACAGAATCTCATGGTGCCCACAGGATCTTTGAGTGTCCACAGGAGCTCTCGGTGCCCACAGGATCTCTCGGTGCCCTCGGGATCTTTGGGTGCCCTTGGGATCTCTTGGTGCCCACAGGATCTCATGGTGCCCTTGGGATCTCTTGGTGCCCACAGGATCTCATGGTGCCCTCGGGATCTCTTGGTGTGGTGCCCTCGGGAGCTCTCGGTGCCCACAGGACCTCTTGGTGGTGCCCACGGGATCTCATGGTGCCCTCAGGATCTCTTGGTGCCCACAGGATCTCATGGTGCCCTCGGGATCTCTCGGTGCCCACAGGAGCTCTTGGTGCCCACAGGATCTCTCAGTGCCCACAGGATCTCTCGGTGCCCTCAGGATCTCTTGGTGCCCACAGGATCTCTCAGTGCCCACGGGAGCTCTCGGTGCCCGGCCCCAGCTGCGGCTGCCCCTCTCCAGGGGCTCTCTGCTGCTCAGTTGCTCTCCACCAGCTTGGCCAGGCCCTGCCTGAGCTCGCTGAGCTCGAAGACCTTCACGTCCATGATCTCGGCCACCTTGGTGACCTCGTGGTGCATCCTGTCCCTCTCTGCCAGGCTCTCTGCCAGGCTCTGCTCTGCCAGCTGCAGCCGCTGCTCCAGCTCGGCGTTCCGGGCCTCCAGCTCCTGCAGGGACAGCCACACTGCTGCTCAGAGCCTCAGAGAGCCCCAGGTGCCACCCAGGGCCACCCCGAGTCCCCAGGGCTCCCTCCTGAGCGCTGTCCCCAGCCCTGCCCGCGGGGTGAGGGGGTGGGAGGGCAGCTGTGCCCACACGGGCCCTGCCAGCCTGGTGGGATTGGCTCTGGAGCTGCTCTGGATCCTCCCCATCCTGGTGGGATTGGCTCTGGAGCTGCTCTGGATCCTCCCCATCCCGGTGGGATTGGCTCTGGATCCTCTCCAGCCTGGTGGGATTGGCTCTGGATCCTCCCCATCCCAGTGGGATTGGCTCTGGATCCTCTCCAGCCTGGTGGGATTGGCCCTGGATCCTCCCCATCCTGGTGGGATTGGCTCTGGATCCTCCCATCCCGGTGGGATTGGCTCTGGATCCTCTCCAGCATGGTGGGATTGACCCTGGATCCTCCCAGCCTGGTGGAATTGGCTCTGGAGCTGCTCTGGATCCTCCCATCCCAGTGGGATTGGCTCTGGATCCTCCCAGCATGGTGGGATTGGCTCTGGATCCTCCCAGCCTGGTGGGATTGGCTCCATCACAGCCTGGGCAAAGCTTTTTTTTCCCCCAAATACCGAGCACAGGACTGAGCTGATCCAAAAGGATTTCCAGAAGATTCTGGCAAGCACAAGAGTGGCTCCAGGCCGGGGAGGGGACACTGGGAATGGCCTCGGGGACAGCCCCAAACCCCAAAAACACTCCAGAGCCCAGCCAACGTTAACGAGGAGGTTAACGAGGGGGTTAATGAGGGGGTTAATGAGGGGGTTAACGAGGGGTGTCCCCCAGGTGCCACCTTTACCTGCAGCTTCTGCAGCGTCTCCTCGCGCTCCCCCTCGGCCTCCCAGCGGCACCTCTGGCTCTTCAGCATCTGGATCTCCTGGGTGAAAAACGTGTTTTATGGCATTTTTTAATTTGGCTTTCAAGGGAAATACAGGCTGGATATTGGGAAGAAGTGTTTTACAGGAAGGGCGATAAAGTTCTGGAATGTTCTGCCCGGGGAGGGGGTGCAGTCACCATCCCTGGGGGTGTTTAACAAAGCCTGGATGTGGCACTGGCTCAGTTGAGGGGCTGGGCTGGATTTGATGAGCTTTGAGGTCTCTTCCAACCCAGTGATTCTGGAAATTCTGGGAATTCTGTGATTCTGTGATTTCTGGGAATTCTGAGCTGCCAGGATCCTGAGCCTCTTCACCCCAGCACAGCCCTGTCCCTCAGTTTGCTCCCTGGGAGGGGACAGAGGGGGAACAGCTGGAAGAGCTCTGACAGCTGGGGGTCTGACAGGTTTTTTGGGAGGTCTGACAGGTTTTGGGGGGTTAGACTGGTCTGGGGGGGTCTGACAGGCTTTGGGGGTCTGACTGACTTAGGGGGTAAGACTGGCTTGGGGGATCTGACAGGTTTTTTGGGGGGTCTGACAGGTTTTTTTGGGAGGTCTGACAGGTTTTTTTGGGAGGTCTGACAGGTTTTTTGGGAGGTCTGACAGGATTTTTGGGAGGTCTGACAGGAATTGTTGGAGGTCTGACAGGAATTTTGGGAGGTCTGACAGGATTTTTGGGAGGTCTGACAGGAATTGTGGGAGGTCTGACAGGAATTTTGGGAGGTCTGACAGGTTTTTTGGGGGGTCTGACAGGTTTTTTTGGGGGATCTGACAGGGTTTTTGGGAGGTCTGACAGGTTTTTTGGGAGGTCTGACAGGTTTTTTGGGGGATCTGACAGGTTTTTTGGGAGGTCTGACAGGTTTTTTGGGGGGTCTGACAGGTTTTTTGGGAGGTCTGACAGGATTTTTGGGAGGTCTGACAGGATTTGTGGGAGGTCTGACAGGTTTTTTGGGAGGTCTGACAGGATTTTTGGGAGGTCTGACAGGAATTGTGGGAGGTCTGACAGGAATTTTGGGAGGTCTGACAGGTTTTTTGGGGGGTCTGACAGGTCTTTTGGGAGGTCTGACAGATTTTTGGGGGATCTGACAGGATTTTGGGGGGTTCTGACAGGTTTTTTGGGGGGATCTGACAGGTTTTTTGGGGGCTCAGACAGCCTCACCTCATCTTTAGCCTTGACCAGCAGCTCCAGCTCCTCCAGGGTCTGGCTCAGCTCCTCCTTGTTGTTCTCACTGGAGGAATCGTGGGTCCCCTGTGCCTCCAGCTCTGCCACCTGCAAGGGGAGGCAGAATTCCCTCAGGAATTCCCTCAGGAATTCCCTCAGCTCCCACTGCCGTGCTCTGCTTCCCTGCAAACCCACCTGCCTTCCCCTCTTCTTGGGGCTGGCAGCAAAACAATTCCTTCTGCTCTGCCTGCAGGAACATTTTTGGGGCTCAAAACCCCGCTTTAGGGAGTGTGCTTTGTGCAGGAGTTCTGCACTCCAGCCAGCTGAGCTGGCTGACACCCAGCCCTGAAGATCCAACTCCATTCATGCCCAGGACACTCCTCTGGCTGCCCTGGATGGCTCCAGCCCCTGGCAGGGGGCTCAGAGACCTTGGCACGGAGTCAAAAACACCTGGGATTTGATTTTTAGCCCCTGGAGAAAATCACCAACCTCATGTGAGGATGTACAAGCTGTGAAAGTTTAGGCAGAATGATAGTTAGTTTGTCACGGGGTGGAAAAGTAGAATTTTGGGGGTTTTAGAATGGGGCTTCAGGAGGGAAGATGGAGGGATTTGGGTGTGCCCTGTCCTTCCTTCTTCTCCTTCTTCTTCTCCTCCTTCTTCTTCTTCTCCTTCTCCTTCTTCTCCTTCTTCTCCTTCTTCTAGAATGGGGGCTCAGGAGGGAAGATGGAGGGATTTGGGTGTGCTCTGTCCTTCCTTCTTCTCCTTCTTCTTCTCCTCCTTCTTCTTCTTCTCCTTCTCCTTCTTCTCCTTCTTCTCCTTCTTCTTCTTTCTTCTTTCTTCTTCTTCTTCGCCTCCATCTTCTGTGTGATGGTGGCACTTTTGGATTGGTTTAGGGACTGTCTAACACAGCTGATAGGTATAGGAAAACTATGGTAAATGAATTTAGTATAAAAGACAGCAGTGTCTCAGGGCAGTGCAGGGTGCAGGGACCGACCTGCCACACAGACCTGGGCGGGCCAGAGAAAGAATTAATCAGATAAGAGAAAATAAACAACCTGGAAAACCAGAGGTGAAGAATCCTGACTCCTCCTCCCATTGCTGGCCTGGGAAAAAGAGACTTTCTACAAGCTCAGGGTCATCTCCACCACTCTGAGACATTTACACCTCTGGGCAGAGATCTCCAAAAGCTCCGGAGCTGCTGCAGCAGGAAGGCTTTGCCCAGAATTCCCCTGGAAAATGCAGCTGGGTGCCTTGGATTATTCATGAGCAGGATTCATTTTTAGAGTGGTTCTGGTTTTGCCGGGGCTGCTGTGAGCTCTGCAGGCAGCTCCGGGGACAAGGAGCTCAGACAGGGAGCGGCTCCTGCTCTCCCTGCGCCGGGGCGGGGCTGGCAGAATCCAAAAATGCTCCAAAATGCTCCAAAAATGCTCCAAAAATGATGCTTAGGGACAGTGACGGAGGGGTTTCACTGAGTTATGGCTCCTGCTGGGATCCTGGCAGGGCCCGGGGGATCCTGAGGGAATCCTGAGGGAATCCTGAGGGAGGGGTGTTGGGAATCCTGAGGGAGGGATGTTGGGAATCCTGAGGGAATTCTGAGGGAGGGATGTTGGAAATCACCCCCAGGGAATCCTGAGGGAGGGATGTTGGGAATCGACCCCAGGGAATCCTGAGGGAATCCTGAGCTAATCCTGAGGGATGGATGTTGGGAATCCTGAGAGAATCCTGAGGGAATTCTGAGGGAGGGATATTGGGAATCCTGAGGGAATCCTGAGAGATGGATGTTGGGAATCCTGAGCTAATCCTGAGAGATGGATGTTGGGAATCAGCCCCAAGGAATCCTGAGGGACGGATGTGGGGAATCCTGAGAGAATCCCGAGGGAATCCTGAGGGAGGGATGTTGGGAAGGATGTTGGGAATCAGCCCCAGGGAATCCTGAGGGATGAATGTTGGGAATCCTGAGGGAATCCTGAGGGAATCCTGAAGGGATGAATGTTGGGAATCCTGAGAGAATCCTGAGGGAATCCTGAGGGAGGGATGTTGGGAACCCTGAGGGAATTCTGAGGGAGGGGTGTTGGGAATCAGCCCCAGGGAATCCTGAGGGATGGATGTTGGGAATCCTGAGGGAATCCTGAGGGAGGGATGTTGGGAATCTTGAGGGAATCCTGAGGGAGGGATTTTGGGAACCCGGAGGGAGGGATGCTTCCTGCACAGCACACAGCCACCACTGCAAACATCTGCCAACTGCTCTAAATCCCTGCTGGCTCTCAAACGCCCCTCTCCAAGTGGGAATGGCTCCATGCCTCCTTCCCCAGCACTCCCAAAAACTTTCCCACCTCTCCCAAAACCATCCCCATCCCTCCTGGAGCAGCCACACGCTGCCCTGATGTCCAGCTGGGCCAAACTGGGTCATGCTGGAAACCGGAATTTTCTGGAATTCCTTCCAGAAAATCCCCAAGGGAAGCTGGAATCCCGTGGCTCTGCACTTTGCTTTCCTGCCTTTCCCTCGTTTCCTGCCCCATTTCTCCTGCCAGGCTGCTGCAGCTCCCGGGATCTGCTGGGTTTGATGGGAAAAGGGGCCAAGGGCAGCTGGGCTGGGGTTTCCTCCTGGGAGGAATGAGGGATTTGTCCTTCCAAACAAGCTCTGGGGCTCATTTATCAGCAAACCTAAGGTTTATTCCTAAAACCAAATTATCTTTTAGCATTCACCAACCAGTGGAACCCTTCCCATTGCTTCTTTTACCTTTCAATGCCTAATTTCATTTATGAGTAAACCCAAAGTTCATTTGTAAAATCAAACACCTTTTCCATCCACCAACCAGTGGAACCCTTCCCATTGTTCCTTTCACCTTTCAACACCAAATTTCATTTATCAACAAACCTAAAGTTCATTTGTAAAATCAAATACTCTTTCCATTCACAACCAGTGGAACCCTTCCCATTGTTTCAACACCAAATTTCATTTATCAACAAACCTAAAGTTCGTTTTTAACAAATTATCTTTTAGCATTCACCACCCAGTGGAACCCTTCCCATTGCTCCTTTCACCTTCCAACGCCCAATTTCATTTATCAGCCAACCCAAAGTTCATTTGTAAAATCAAACACCTTTTCCATCCACTAACCAGTGCAATCCTTCCCCACTGATTCTTTCACCTTTCAATGCCTAATTTCATTTATGAGTAAACCTAAAGTTTATTTGTAAAATCAAACACCTTTTCCATTCACAACCAGCGCAATCCTCCCCATTGCTTCTTTCACCTTTCAATGCCATATTTAATTTATGAGTAAACCCAAATTTCATTTGTGAAATCAAACACCTTTTCCATTCACAACCAGTAGAGCCCTTCCCATTGCTCCTTTCACCTTTCAACGCCCAATTTCATTTATGAGTAAACCTAAAGTTCATTTGTAAAATCAAATACTCTTTCCATTCACAACCAGTGGAACCCTTCCCATTGTTCCTTTCACCTTTCAACACCAAATTTCATTTATCAACAAACCTAAAGTTCATTTGTAAAATCAAATACTCTTTCCATTCACAACCAGTGGAACCCTTCCCATTGCTCCTTTCTCCTTTCAACGCCCAATTTCATTTACCAGCCGACCCAAAGTTCATTTGTGAAATCAAACACCTTTTCCATTCACAACCAGTGGAACCCTTCCCATTGCTCCTTTCACCTTTCAACACCCAATTTCATTTACCAGCCGACCCAAAGTTCATTTGTGAAATCAAGCACCTTCTCCATCCCCCACCCGAGGAAGCCTTCCCACGGTTGCTGTCTGTCCCGGGCAGGGTTCCCCAGCCCAGCCCTCCCTGCTGCTCACCCTGTGCCTCAGTGCCTCTGTCTCCTCCTGGTACGCTGCCAGCTGCTGCTTCCACTGCTCCACGCTGGCGTTGGCCTCGTGCAGGGCAGCCACCAGCTTGGAGTTGTTGTCCTGCAGGCTGAAGAACTCGGCCTCCCACTGCACCTCGCTCACCGAGCTGGGCAAAAGATGGCAAAAGGTCACTTTTCCTGCAAAAAATCCCCCTTGCCATGGGTTTTCTCCTGGGAAGATGAGAAGCTGCCCAAAACCTTCCCCAGCCAGACCCAGCTCTCCCAAAACCTTTCCCAACTAATCCCATCTCTCCCTTCCCAACCAATCCCATCTCTCCCAAAACCTTTCCCATCTCTCCCAAAACCTTTCCCAACCAATCTCAGCTCTCCCAAAACCTTTCCCAGCTCTCCCAAAACCTTTCCTAGCTCTCACCAAAACCTTTCCACACCAATCCCAGCTCTCCCAAAACCTTTCCCATCTCTCCCAAAACCTTTCCCAGCCAGCCCCAGCTCCCTGGGTGCGGGAGATCCAGGTCTGGATGTCCCCTCTGTGCTTTATCCCTTTAATACTTGTTTTTTGGGTCTGAAACTGCACAAACCACGTTGGCATTAATGGGGTGGGGGAGACCCGGGTACTCTGAAGGGGCTCTGCAGGGTGGGATGGTGAATCCACTTCAAAAACCCACACTGGAGCAGAGTTTGCTCTGAATAAAGCCCAGGACTCTTTGCTTTTGATTTACAAATACCCCAAGTGTTCAGCTGGGAGCTTGGCAGGAGCAGAATCCAGCCCCAAAGCCTTTTGAAGAGACAAAGAGAGGAAGCAGCAGGGAATTGCTGGAATCACCAGGGGAAGGAACACAAACAAGTGTGAACATCTCCTGGTGCCACAGGATCCTGCTCTGGGCACGGCTGGCACGGAGCATCCTGCTGCCCTCCTGCCTGAGCAGATTTCCCAGCTGGAATAAATCCCTGCTGGGAAAGGGGGAATGCATCCAGGGGAGGGTTTGAGCAGCAGACAGAGAGAATTAAAAGGGCAGAATGGGTCAGAATTATTTGGGATGCACCAAACCATGCCAGGAGAGAGTTTGGGGTCACAGCAGCCAATCCCCATTATTTGGGAAGCACCAAACCCTGCCAGAGGAAAGAATTTGGGAGTCAGAGCAGCCAATCCCAATGATTTGGGAAGCACCAAACCCTGCCAGAGGAGAGAATTTGGGAGTCAGAGCAGCCAATCCCAATGATTTGGGAAGCACCAAACCTTGCCAGAGGGAGAATTTGGGAGTCAGAGCAGCCAATCCCAATGGATTGGGAAGCACCAAATCCTGCCAGGGGAGAATTTGGGAGTCAGAGCAGCCAAGCCCAATGGATTGGGAAGCACCAAATCCTGCCAGGGGAGAATTTGGGAGTCAGAGCAGCCAAGCCCAATGGATTGGGAAGCACCAAATCCTGCCAGGGGAGAATTTGGGAGTCAGAGCAGCCAAGCCCAATGGATTGGGAAGCACCAAATCCTGCCAGGGGAGAATTTGGGAGTCAGAGCAGCCAAGCCCAATGGATTGGGAAGCACCAAATCCTGCCAGGGGAGAATTTGGGAGTCAGAGCAGCCAAGCCCAATGGATTGGGAAGCACCAAATCCTGCCAGGGGAGAATTTGGGAGTCAGAGCAGCCAAGCCCAATGGATTGGGAAGCACCAAATCCTGCCAGGGGAGAATTTGGGAGTCAGAGCAGCCAAGCCCAATGGATTGGGAAGCACCAAATCCTGCCAGGGGAGAATTTGGGAGTCAGAGCAGCCAAGCCCAATGGATTGGGAAGCACCAAATCCTGCCAGGGGAGAATTTGGGAGTCAGAGCAGCCAAGCCCAATGGATTGGGAAGCACCAAATCCTGCCAGGGGAGAATTTGGGAGTCAGAGCAGCCAAGCCCAATGGATTGGGAAGCACCAAATCCTGCCAGGGGAGAATTTGGGAGTCAGAGCAGCCAAGCCCAATGGATTGGGAAGCACCAAATCCTGCCAGGGGAGAATTTGGGAGTCAGAGCAGCCAAGCCCAATGGATTGGGAAGCACCAAATCCTGCCAGGGGAGAATTTGGGAGTCAGAGCAGCCAAGCCCAATGGATTGGGAAGCACCAAATCCTGCCAGGGGAGAATTTGGGAGTCAGAGCAGCCAATCCCAATGATTTGGGAAGCACCAAACCCTGCCAGAAGGGAGAATCTGGGAGTCAGAGCAGCCAATCCCCATTATATGGGAAGCACCAAACCCTGCCAGAGGAGAGAATTTGGGGTCACAGCAGCCAATCCCAATGATTTGGGAAGCACCAAACCTTGCCAGAGGGAGAATTTGGGAGTCAGAGCAGCCAATCCCCATTATTTGGGAAGAACCAAACCCTGCCAGGGGAGAATTTGGGAGTCAGAGCAGCCTCACCCCTCCGAGAGCATCTTCTTCAGCCTCTCCTTCTCGGTGCTGATCTCCACATCCGCGCTCTGGCTGCGGAACAGTTTGTCCTCCCCCGGCCCGTTGGAGCTGATGATGGGGCTGGGCAGCACCTGGGGGGGGACAAGGACCAGGACAAGGACAAGGACAGGGTGGTCACCTCCAGCAGGGGGGCCTGGGATGGCCCTGTGGTCACCAACCCGGCCTGGCTGCACGGGGTCAGTGTGGAGGTGACAGAGGGACAGCAGGGACACACCTGGGGACAGCAGGGACAGCCATGGGGACAGCAGGGACAGCCCTTGGGACAGCAGGGCCACACCTGGGGACAGCAGAGACAGCCCTGGGGACAGCAGGGACAGCCCTGGGGACAGCAGGGACAGCCATGGGGACAGCAGGGACAGCCATGGGGACAGCACCCCTAGGGACAGTAGGGCCATGCCTGGGGACAGCAGAGTCACCTCTGGGGACAGCAGGGACACCCCTAGGGACAGGAGGGCCATGCCTGGGGACAGCAGAGTCACCTCTGGGGACAGCAGGGACACCCCTAGGGACAGGAGGGCCATGCCTGGGGACAGCAGAGTCACCTCTGGGGACAGCAGGGACACCCCTAGGGACAGGAGGGCCATGCCTGGGGACAGCAGAGACAGCCCTGGGGACAGCAGGGACAGCCCTGGGGACATTTCCCTCCCATTTTCTCCCCTTTCCCTCCCGTTTTCTCCTTTTCCCCCCTTTCCCTCCCATTCCCAGCCTCACCTGGTGGGAAGGGATGCTCAGGGCAGGGTTGGTGAGCTCAGTTTTATCCTGGCATTTCTCCCTGGCCACACGAGCGGCTTCCTTCACCTCCTGGAACTTCTCTGCAAACTGGAGGGGAGGGAAAAGGGAAAAGGGAAAAGGGAAAAGGGAAAAGAAGGGAAGGGGAGGGAAGGGAAGGGAAGGG